CAGATGATCAGGACAATTATTATTCCAAGACTTATTATTATTCAGTGTTATATCAAAGACTAGTATTTTCTCGTTGTGAATGCACCTGGAAAACAGATGAACTTACAACTTGGAATTCTTGGATTTGATCATGACTAACTCAAATGGTTGTTTTATCTCATTTCTGAATGCTCTGCTTTTTAGAATTATTAAAGGAGTGGTTCAGCATTTTAAAGAAATGCCCTTATTTGCTTTTTTCCAAAGTAAAAATTGATAAGGGTCAGCTGTGGCATAGGAGGTAGAGTGGATTGTTGGTGGTTCAATTCCAGGCTTCTCTGATCCACGTGCCAAAGTGTCCTTAAGCAAAACACTGATTCCCTAGCTGCTCCTGGTGATATTACTGGTGTGTGAATGTGAGTGCTTCTGTATGCAAATGGCTGAATGGGAAATAGTGTAAAATGCTTTGCGTGTGCTTAAATGCATACAAAAGTGCTATACAGGTATAAGACCATTTGCAGTACCATAACAATCTCATGTCTGGTCAAAGTCAAAGCGTTTATTTGTCATATGCACAGTTAGGAAACGTGTTTTCCTGTACAATGAAATTCTTACTTTGCCGTCCACATGAATGCCACAAAAATACAAGTGAAATATAAAGTAGATAAATAAGTAACACAAAATCTAAGGCACTTTAAGCAGCAAATGCAGCAATATAATAAAAAAAATATATATATATAATAGAGAATGTATGCTGCATGGGAGCAGCATGTGCAGCAGTCAACAGTCAGCAGCAATTATGCATGTGCAAACAGAATATAAACAGTACATCACGTATTTCCTGGTAATAAACTCCTCAGCTGTTTAGGAGTCTGATGGCAGAGGGAAAGAAAGAGTTTTTCAGTCTAGATGTCCTGCATTTCACACTTCTGAACCTCCGGCCAGAGAGTAGGGAGGTGAACAGTCCATGCTGGGGGTGGGTGGGATCTTTTGAGGATAGAGGCAGCTTTCCTACGCACCCTGTGGT